GAGAGGATAGTCAGAAGCCTATAAACGGCTTTATGTACACGGTGACACTTTGCTGTTAGTGCAGTACAGTGCCATGGGTAATTAGTCCTGGGAACCAAAACTCAATGTCTAGGCAGAACCCTGCTGAGGGTGCCACTCAGACTGGGTGGGAAATCCGTGCGTCGTTATTAGATATCCAGTCATTGGACATGGTTTCCCCACAGTCAACTTTGTTGTATAGCAAGCATGTCAAACTCGCGGCCCACAATAAATATTTTGCAGCCCAGCCAATATAACGGTATGTAAGAAACATTTTAATAAAAATTTCATAACTTAATCCTTACAGTATCCTGTTATACATAATTATTAATAAACTACGACGTTCGCTAATGACTGATTACTGTAATCATGTTGCATTCATCTCCCTTACACAGCTTACACGCAGGTGCACCATTTCTCTCCACTAATACTAGCAGCAAATATTTTAGCAGTCGATTGCCACATCATTGGACTGACTTGTTCGGTGTGCGAAAGGGGAAATATTTCGCTTTCAGAGAACAAGAAAAATAGGTTTATTTGCGTTACGCTTATTAATTTGTGCAGTTATTCAGTGTCTGGTAAGTTAATGTTCAAGAAAAAATAATTTTTATTAAATCGTTCTATTATTTTATGTTAATGATTACTCATTTATTTCAGCCCTTTGTATTCAGCATGTCTCTAATCGAAATAAACCTATGTTTCTGTGAAAATAGAAGCTTTTGTTTTTTTGCAGCCCATGTTAGCCTTTGAGTTTGACATGGTTGTTGTATAGTCATTGAAAGTAAAATGCCACTGATGTGTTCACATACTAAACATATACACCCATGTAACCAGCACCCAGATCAGAGGCTAGAATAAGAGAAGCATCCCAAAGAAGCCCTCATTCCTTTTTGCTCCCTTCTGGTCTTCCCTCCCCACCCCAACCCCAAGAGTTTTCAACTCATTTCTTTTCACCTCTCAGTACTACCTCCGAAACTCCAAATAGAAATAGAACCACCCTTCAGGAAAACAGTGTTTAATATACTCAACTGAAAACATGCACATGAATTATTGGAAGGAAAGTGTGATAATTGGGAAGGCCATACAGAAACAATGTGAAAAGAAAACTCTTCTAAATAAAAAACTCAGTATGAAAGCTTCCCAATTCATCTGTCGTCTCATCTCCTTTTAGTTAATTGCAGAAGGAAAATGGGTCAAGTTTGAAAAAACAACTTACATGGATCCTACTGGTAAAACGAGGTAAACTATATTTTTTCTTTTATAAAATGCTTGGTATTGGGGTTCTCAAATTCTCTATTTAGTATTTGGCATAAACTTTGATATTTTCTTCATTGGAAACTCTGTGTTATAGAGAAATCTAATTTAGCTGTTTTCTTATTGTTAGAATGTTTGAGTAACTTACAATCTATGCATATTTATAAATTTGTTACAATAGCTAGTCAGGAAGCTATTTTAACACCATTCTCCCCAAGTAGATTAGTGTGAACCTAAAACTTTTGGGACAAGGCTAATTTAAGCTGATAAAGCAGCAAAATAGTTAACAATACAGGTTCCTTCCTTCTAATTAAACCAATTCTAACCTCTAAGAATTAAAGAGGAAACTTGTGTTTGAGGTAAAAGTTACATGCTTACTGGTAAACCTTGCTTATGGAAATGTAAATTGGAAAAGAAAATGTTTTATAAAGCATTTCACAGTATGAATCAATTGCCATAAAGATATGGTTGGGGCAGAGCTGTTTGGAGCTAGGTCATCATGGGGTCTGAGACTGTGCTAAGAAAACTATTTGGAATCAGTTTTATGCCTAAAAGATGTTCATCAAAACTTTTAAAAAAAAAATTTCAAAGCAACCTAAACATTCTAAATATATGGGGAATAATTATTTTAGTGTATTCATTTGGTAAAATGTATGCATCCATCCACAAAGCAGATTATGAAGACAACCTAGCAATATGAGAAAAAATTAGTAACTTGGTAACAAAAAAGAAAATTGTATATGTGCTTTTTAAACTCTGCCAAATAACGTGTAAGAAAAAGCTAGAGTACCGGCCAGCATGTCTCAGTGGTTGAGCATCGACCGATGAACCAGGAGGTCACGGTTAGATTCCCAGTCAGGCCACATGATGTGCCTTGGTTGCAAGCCCCCGGTCCTGGTCGGGATGCATGCAGGAGGCAACCAATCGATGTTCTACTCTCACATTGATGTTTATCTCTGTCCCTCTCCCTCCTCTCTCTCAAAAAATCAATAAAAAATCTGAAAAAAAGAAAAGCTAGTAGGAAAATATATAGGGCAGCTGTATGATTAACCTTTTTTTCAGATTTTCTGTTTAGTAACTTTTTATAAGCATCAGGAAAAATGTATTAAATAGATTAAGCATTTACTTAGTGAAATATAAAAAGGAATAAAACAGAATGAGAAAATACAAAAATGTAACTAAATTTAGTATCTAGATTATGTAATTTAAATTTAGTAATATAAAATCTCCATTTAAGTCCAGGCTGACTTGGCTCAGTTAGTTGGGCATCGTCCTGGGCACTGAAAGGGTTGCTGGTTTGATTCCCGGTCAGGGCACAAGCCTGGATAGCAAGCTCAATCCTGGGTAGAGATTGTTCAGGAGGCAGCTGATTGATGTTTTGTTCTCTCTCCCTCTCCTTTCCTTTCTCTCTAAAAATCAATTTAAAATTTTTTAAAACTCCATTTAAGTGATCAAATAAGAATACAGCTTCTTTGTGAGGAAATACATCTATCATCAGTGCAAAAGTACATGGACTTGCCAGTAATTTAAACAACTTTTGATTATATCTATTAAACTAGCAAAAATATTAATAAGGCCCAATGTTGGAGAAATACATAGCACTGTTAAATTAAAACCCTAAAGAAAACTAAGCACACTACAATCCAACAACACAGAGAGTATATTACCTATTATGTAAAGTGAGTTTGATATATAGAACTAAACATGAATAAAATAGATGATTCAGAAATGTGGCAAGGCCTAAAACCATAAGGAGCACAATATGTTCCAATGTACTTATATTTATGAAACTACTAGGGGCCCGGTGCACGAAATTCGTGCACTGGGTGTGTGGGGGGTGGGGGGGGTAGTGTCCCTCAGTCCAGCCTGCCCCCTCTCACATATTGGGAGCCCTCAGGCGTTGACCCCCATCACCCTCCAATCGCAGGATCGGCCCCGTGCCCAGGCCTGACAGAGGCGTCAGGCCTGGGCCGGGGACCCTCATTTCCCCCCATCACTGGTTCTGCCCCCAGCCCAGGCCTGCTGCCTCT